CCTATACCATGATCGGGCTTCGTATAACAACGATTTCGAAAAAAAAATTATTTTTGGTGATGCGCGAGTTAATTACAAGATGGTGTTTCCAAGTCAAACATAACAATGAGACATCTGTAAAGAGTATGATTCGTGCACTATGTGCATTTATTGATCTCTCTCTACAGACTGAACTGATGTAGTTTCTTGTTACAGGGCTTTTATACAAAATTCGATAATATTCTTAATTTATATTTCAATGTTACATATCGATTGCAAAATATATAATAGAAATAATATTTATGATTAGACACGTTTCCAAATCAAACTCAATAATTAGACATGCCTGTTAACAATGCTCATTATTTTCAATTCGTCATTCCATTTCCATATCAATATATCTATTGAAAATATCGAGAGGAGAGTATGTTTTTATTCAGGCATTACTCAGCGATAAGCGCTGAATAACATACTCTCTTCTCGATATATTCAATAGATATAAAATACATATAATATCGTTATCGTTATCGATATTAACTCGCGCTTACATACATGCGCCAAATAAAAGAAACAATAATGATTCAACATTTAAATTGTTTCGATTTATGTGTCATCAGACAATATATTTAGCTGCCGTCATCTGGATATTTCAGCTCATCTGGATGCCGTCAGCAGATGATGCGAAGTGAAAACAATAGAAGTGATTGTTATAGTAATACCAGTATATAACAAGCTTATATACCTATAACAATCACTTCTATTGTTTTCACTTCGTATCATCTGCTGACGATATCCAGATGAGCTGTAATATCCAGATGACGGCAGCTAAATATATTGTCTGTGTGTCATCGTTCTTTAAATTTTGGTAGTGTATCAACCTTTACCCCCATTTCATCCCATCATACGAAAACATCAAGATATAACTCACAAATAATTCCGAGAGTCATCGATCAGGAGTATATATACTCAATGGGCATTCGATCACTGCATTGCAATCAATTGAACGCAACATTATCAAAGGACAATATATTATTGATAAAACTATGATCACTGTAACGATGAGATAAAAAAATGCTGCTTACAAATGCTTTTTTGTTTATTTTTTTAAACCGACAGAGGTCGGAACGTATGTATATACATCATGTAAAAATTCAATTGTTTATACTATATGACTTTTTTCAAATGTGCTATATGAAGCGTAATTTTTTCGATTAAATTTGATTAACTTTTTGAAGAAAATTGTTGATTGCATGTGAATCAACATCACTCAATGTTTTTTCTTGGGCAATCGCATTGAGGTGCGCTAAAAAGCCATTAGCTTCTAAAAGTTTCAGGATGTCGTTGACATGATTTTTAAAATTTTCAATCAACTTTTCCAAAAAAATGAAACAGTTAACACGCACATTTGACACAAACACTACTGATTGTGATGCTATCGAACTAAGAAGATCCTTTGCAACTGATATTGACACGGCATGACATTGAATGAATCGAGTGGTAAAGATCAAAACAGCATTGTATAGTTCATGTCGATCGGCTTCCAATTGTACCGCTTTTCCGAAGCACGTTTGAATTATGTCCATCAAATTGACCGTTTCATTCGACAGAGAATCAACGAAATTTTCTGCAAAGATATAGAAATATTGGAATGAACTGTTCATTGAAGAAAAATAGTTTGTTTTTAGTGTAGCTACCGAGAATTTTGAGTGCAACCGTAACTGTTTGAGATGTCGAATCTGGGGCAGTTAAAATTTTATACGTTTCTTTAATCCAGTCTGATCGTTCTGCTCGTTCTGCTATGCGTGCAAACAATGAAATAACTTTTCCCAACGAATCAATAAGATCGTTATCACCGGAATGATTTCCCAAGCCTCGCAATGCTCCCAATAACTATCGAATGAAATATGAAATATTAATCTAGTTTATATTGATGCAAATATTTGAAAAATTTAATTTACTTTTGTTCTAATTTCGATTCGGTCAGCCACATCCATTTGCAACCATTTTTCCTGTTTTTTAATTTCAATGAACTTTATGGGACTTGATAATTGACGGATAATTTCCTTCGCGGCTGCAATTCGTATGTACAATTCTTCATGACTCGAAACGTAGTCAGCGAGTTTATTCAAAAACTGCACAGAGAACAACGTGTTCAG